TAGATAGATAGATAGATAGATAGATAGATAGATAGATAGATAGATAGATAGATAGGTCTGCAAGGGGTAGAACAATAATTCAAAGCTCACGATGCAGTATTGTCAAGAAGAGAGAAAAAAACAAAATTCTGTCTTTCTTTTGGAAGTTGTAGCGACACAACAACACGCTTACCCGTAGAAAGGTTAATAAAGCCGCTATCTATGAGCTGACAAACTGACTTTAAAACACGCTTGTATCTGGACTTGAGTAGGCACGTACGAAGCTTACTTTACGTTACTTTTTCTTCCGCTCGTACCGGTGGGTGTCGCGGGGAGACACAAGACGAGTGGCCTGTAGGAGGGACATCCCTTGAGCTCTGAGGGTGTCTGCTACAGATTCACTCCAGCGTCGCCTCGGTCTTCCTCTGGCTCTTCAGCCAGAATATTTGTAGTATGAAGTATGAAGTACGGCTGTGGTCAGGCTAGACGCCTATCAGCCGATTTGATATTATATTCCCTCAGAGCTGGCTGGTTTGAGGGTATCCGTGTGAGGTGTCCGAACCACTTGATCTTTTGTTTTTCAACGCGTGGTAGGACTGGTGTTGCTCCTGTCGTGTCCCTTATGATTTCATTTTTTTTTCATTTTGTCTCTTCTCCTCTCGTCTTTCATCAGTTCACCTTCAGCTTGGGCAAGAGAAGCACACATTGACTCAATAACGGTCTACTTTAAGTAGATGTAAGTGCCGAGGAAAAGCAGTTTAATGTACTGCCAGAAACAACTGAGAGAAGGAATACAAATTTGGTCTCCCAGTGGTGCCCACTGCCCACCAACCACCAAAAAGTAAAACATTTCCACTGCAAATGTTCATTTTACATGGACTCTCAAGCTATGCAACTAACCTAACGTTGGCCGCCATTTTCTCGATAATTTTACCTCTGAAACCAGGCTACCTTTTCATCCGTTAATCTAAAAAATCTCGGCTCCTGTTCAAGATAGATGGGTGTTTTTTTCATCGAAAGACAGACAGTGGGTAGTTGGTGGGTGCTCTGGTGTGGTTTGCTTCTTCTTTCCTATGAAACATCTATTGTCCTTATCTCCCTTTGTTTTTCTTTTTTATGTTTCTTACTCTCTTGTAACACCTATAATCTTCTAGCGCTCATGTGATCTTATGCAGTTGCGAGCGCTGTAAAACCTCTTCTAAAACTAAAATTAATAGACTGACAAATCAACAAGCTTTACGGTGATACCAATAACTCAGCATGCCCAAAATTTACGAGCACCTGATTTCATCGAGTGATGACACATAATATGTGTGTGTATATTGGGTGTCTCCTTCTGTCTGCTGAGATGTTGTGCACCATCCAGCCCAGGTTGGCCCCGGACAGATAGGCCTCTGTCAAAGTAACCGAGCTCATGTGGTCGCTTTAAAGCACAAGGGGGCTATCCCGAAAAAGGCTTTTTTTAAATAGAAAAATCAAAAGTAAAGTTTTTTCGCATGGTTCAGTTTCTTTGAAAGTCAAGGAGGAGAATTTTCTCTATAAGCAAACAAATATAGGCCTACATAACAATGAAACCAAACTTCTCCTAAAGGTGGGGCAATGCTCACTTTTGGTGTAGGTCAAGATTTCTGGAAACCCCCGAAGTCTGTGGGTGGTTGGCGGGTGCTCTGGCGTGGTTTGCTTTTTTCTATCCTATCAAACATCTACCGTCCTTATCTCCCCTTTTTCTTTTTTATGTTTGTTACTCTCTTGTAACACCTCTAATCTTCTGGCGCTCATATGACCTTATGCAATTGCGAGCGCCGTAAAACTCTTACTAAAACAAAGACTGTAAAGAAGTCTGGGTTAGCCTGCTAGTCCTTTAAAGCGACCATAATATGATCTAAATTAGTATGTTGACAGGGGAGTAAGACATTACGATGAAGAACAACAGATAAAGGATTACCGTTCCAAAGTCCAGCAAGCTTTGAACCACACGCTCTGTGTTGTTGTGCAGGCGAAAGTGTACCTCCAGGCCTATCTTTTTCCGGTCATAGTCGTACGTCATGAACGTGTAAGACTGGGGAGTGAAAGAAAGTAAGACACTGAAGAAAGAGGTGAAAGTCCCACTAAGTGGGAAGGGAAGGGGGAGAAAGTAAGATGGAAGAAAGAAGGGAAAGTAACACTAAGGGGAGGGG